ATCTAAGCTGTAGCTTTCTCCAATTCAGAAAACATTTGTTTTAGTTTCTGTTTTTACTATGTGTACATAATGAAAATCAATGTCCTAAGGCAGGGCCAATTTTGACACCAGGGGAAAAATTTGAACAACTTTGGTAGAGGACCTATATATGATATTATATAGCAAACATCAAAGCACTATGCCTTGTACCTTCAGACAAGAAGATTTTTTAATTTTTTACTATATTTACATACATGTAGTGAAAATCAATGCCTCCCGGTGCAGGGCCAATTTTGACCCCAGGGCTATAATTTGAACAATCTTGCTAGAGGTTCACTTCGCAAAGTCTCATGCTAAATATTTAACCTCTAGCCTTTAACCTTTGTCAATTCAGAGAAGAAGATTTTTCAAGTTTTTACTTTATACATATAAGGAAAACTATCGCCTCTGGGGCAGGGCAATTATAACACTAGGGGCATTATTAAAACAACTTTAGTAGAGGACCAATAGATGATATAATATACCAAATATCAAAGTTCTAAGCCTTGTACCTTCAGACAAGAAGACTTTTAAATTTTTTACTATATGTACATAGTGAACATCAATGACCCCCGGGGGTGGGGGGCCAATTTTTACCCCAGGGCTATAATTTGTACAATCTTGCTAGAGGTTCACTACACAATATTTCATGAAAAATATCTAACCTCTAGCCTTTGTCAATTTAGAGAAGACGATTTTTAAAGCTTCTACTATATACATATAAGGAAAACCTATAACCCCTGGGGCGGGGCTAATTTTGATACTAAGAGGCAAATTTTGAACAACTTTGGTAGAGTACCTATAGATGATATCATATAACAAATATTAAAGCCTTAAGCCTTATACCTTCAAACAATAAGATTTTTTGATTTTTTACTATATGTACATAGTGAAAATCAATGACCCACCCCCCAAAGCGGGGCCAATTTTCACCCCAGGGCTATAATTTGAACAATCTTGCTAGAGGTTCACTACACAATGTTTCATGCCAAATATCTAGCCTCTAGCATTTGTCAATAGCGAGAAGAAATTTTCTTTAAGTTTTTACTATATACGAGGGATGATAAAAAATTAACCGGACTTTGTAAATGGTTGTTTACCTGTTAAATGTTTTTACACAAAAATACATGGAAAATAAATCGGAACGATCCCCTGAATGATACAACAAATACCAACAAGAAAAATTAACAAAGAAAAAAGTTATGTTGTTATTTGCATGTACATGTAAAGCAATGTGGCACACGGTATAACTTTAAAATTGACTGACGTTATCGACGTTACAAGTGTATTGTCCTTAACGGAGCAGCTTTTTACTCATTGACGGAGTAGGCCAATACGTGGAACAGTCATGTTGTTGATACAGCAGATCCACTGCCTATATTTATTTATGTACAAGTGGGTATCATATTGTATTGTAATAGAATGGATGATGATAAAGGGCTCCTGTAATCAAGCAAACTTCCTTTCTTTCATTCTGTAACTTGACTGTTGGAAAAATTGCATATGCATTAAACTATATTATGCATTACAAATAATGTAAAATAATGTTGCTGAATGATTATGTATCATACCTACAAAAAAAAGAATAATACAAGTATGAACAAAATTGTCATTTTTTTAAAATGAATAAATCTTATAGCCGATTTTGAAAAGTGACTGTTAAATTGTTGACACAATTTCTCCATAAGACTACTGCATAAAATAAGAAAATAATTGATACAATTGTAAACCAAGAATATAATATATGTAATAAATGCATTAACTATTATCATTTTAAAATCCTTAAAGTTGACTGCACTGTCCCGTAGTTACTGTCGAACATCGTTGACAATGTCCGCAGTCAATCGACCGTCATTTTTCAATGTCCGTGGCAATTGACGTCAAAAACATCTTTAAAAAAAAAAATTTTCTGTCTCTCCCTTACTTTTTTTCTATTTCTCTATTACCATTTTGTAATCCTTCATGTTAATCAAAAAAATAATATGCTGTGACTTTCTGGAACTTTTCCCTTGATAGCCATAATCTTTTTCTACTTTTTAAACAGTTTTTCGTCTTACTTTGGACAAATTTTTCTTATTGATCGATTTTCGAGACATTCTGACGACAGAGTTTTAACGCGAGTATTTCTTTAACAAGTGACATTTGAATTGTGATTGCAAATAGAAATATGGTTTAAATGAAGTAATATTTACTGACAACATCAAAGATATTGTTCATGACGTTCTGGCGTATTTTGAAATCTAAATGTGCCATATTGTAAAATATATGCAGCATAAAGCGCCTGATGTCAAGGCGAATATACGCACTGCGCCGGTTGTGCGTTACCATGGTTTTTTAATTCGCTGATACAGACAAGCTATTTGCATCATTAGATTAGATATAGCATCAGTTTACAGGTATTGTGTTCCGATTTAGTGTGATATATAACAATAAGTGATACGTTGAAAAATTTTCAATTGACAGTCACAGTCAGGTTTATTTTTGATCATCCCTCGTACATTAAAGGAAAACCTTTCAGCCCCGGGGCGGGGTTGATTTTGACACTAGAGGCAAAATTTGAACAACTTTGGTAGAGTACCTATAGATGATATCACATACCAAATATCAAACCTTCAAGCCTTGTACCTTCAGGCAAGAAAGTATTTTAAGTTTTTACTATATGTACATATAGTGAAAATCAATGACCCCCCAGGGCAGGGCCGATTTTCACCCCAGGGCTATAATTTGAACAATCTTGGTAGAGGTCTACCAGACAATGCCTTATGCAAAATATCTAAGCTCTAGGCCTTTTGAGTCTTTACAAGAAGATTTTTTAAATTCATTCTTATAATTCCTTTTGGTTGCCATGGCAACCAGATTTCTGCATGGAATGAAATTCTTAGAACAACTTTGGAAGCCCTTCACACACAGGTGAATCGCTATATGCCACCGCAACGCAGATGCTGCGGTGGCATAAAAATGAGACCACTAGAACAGGATATTTGAATCAAAACAGTAGCCACTAGAGTGTTAACAAGATTTTTCTATTTTGAGCTCCTGTGACCTAGTTTTTCATCCGAGATGACCCATGTTCGAACTCATCCGAGCTATCAACTACATAAGCATCCTGACAAAGTTTGATGATGATTGATGCAAAAATGTGACCGCTAGAGTGTTAACGAACAAGTATGGACGGAGGACGGAAATTGAACGATCCTAAAAGCTCACCCTGAGCTAGCTCAGCTGAGCTAAAATTCTAAGTTAATGGGGAGATAAATCTTGCAATGTTGGTGTCAGAGTCACATCAGATGTGGTTAATGATAAGGACATATATTTGAAGTATTAAATTGATCTCTTAAGAAATAAAAAGTAACAGTTAAAAAATAATATTTTTTAAGGAAATTCTAAGTTCAAGGGGAGATAAATCTGAAAATATTGTTGCTATGAACCTTGTCACATAAGATGTGGTTGATGATAAGGAACATATATTTGAAGTTTGAAGTTGATACCTTAAGAAATGAAAAAGTGATAGTGAAAAATATTTTACTGCACCAAAACTTAAACACGGACGCCTGGGCGTGTAGGACAGCTCTCCAAATACTTTGTATAGTCGAGCTTAAAAGGGTTCATCTACTTGTTATGACCAATCACTATGTGAAACAAGAGCCAGTTGAACCTGGTGATGCTCCCCGACTAGGATTTGGACACAGAAAAGTATATCTTTTGTAGTTTCAGAGTTATGTCCCAGACATAGTTCAAAGTATGATAATTCCAAACTTAGGCAATGCAGACTTACTGTTTTTTGCACTGCACTTCTACTCATTTACATCTATCTACCAACTTGTTCGCGACACATCGTCTCAATATGTTCAAGGTCATCCTGTTACCTTGACCTCCAAGGTAGCGACCCAAATGTTGCGGGACACGTCGTCACAATATTGTGATCATTTCTGTGAAATAGTTGTAAAATCCGACTTCAAAATACGAAGTTATGGGCCGGATACGATTTTGCTTCAAGGTCATGCTGTGACCTTGACCTAAACACGTCTGTAGATTTTCCACAGTCTTTCTGGAAAAACTCTTGAAAATAACTGAATCAAGGTAGCGACCCTAATGTTGTGCGCGACACGTCTTTTCAATATGGTGATCATTTCTGTGAAATAGTTGTAAAATTCGACTTCAAATAACAAAGTTATTGCCTGGACACAAATTCAGACGTACGTACTGATGGACTGATGGAAGGACGGACAACCTGGCAACTATATGCTCCCCCGAAATTTTTAGGGGAGCATAATAAGAAGACTTTGTGATCAATAGTTTTTCAAGATAATCAGCGGAAACCATGTGGTCTACTGACGGATAGACAGACCTACCGACCGTTCGACATTAGCAAAACAATATACCCCCTCTTCTTCAAAGGGGGGGCAAAATAAAACTGTGACCACTACAGTGTTAACAAGATTTTCCATATTTGGGCGGTGTGACCTAGTTTTTTACCCCAGGTGACCCATATTAGAACTTGATCTAGAAATCACCAAAACGAACTTTCATACCAATGTCTAGGATATTTGGATCAAAACAGAAGCCACTATAGTGTTGATAACAAGATTTTCTATTTTTAGCTCCTTTGACCTAGTTTTTCATCAGAAATGACCCATGTTCGAACTCATATGAGCAATTACCTAGACAGGCAAGTCAAGTTTGGTGACAATTGAGTCAAAAATGTGACCATAGAATGTTAACAAGGTTTTTTCCATATTTGAGCTCAGGTGAGCTAAAAACTGTGAAATTATAATAATTTGACCTTCAAGGTCAAAGTCATTTATTGGTAAAGGTCATTTTAATGTTCAATTGGAAACCAGATTTGAATATTCTATTATGTGAAATAATATGTGAAATTGCCACCACTAATTCAAATCTCTATAACAATGAACAAAGCTATAATGTTTTATAAAACATATGGTTTTATTACACCTGTGAATGGTTCAAAACCTATTTTTCACCTTCTCTATATTTTACAGCACTAGGTTCCTGGGTTTCATGTACAACATCTGCTAGAGCCATTCCATATGCTGATAAAATACCTGCATACCTAAAAAAAATAGACATTATTATTACAAACATTGCATAAAACAATTAGCAGATACACATAACAAAAGTCCAAACATGCTTATTTTTGCTTAACCAGGGGCAATACCTCTAACTATCTCAATGAATTAGTGGCATTGAGTAGTAAGGTGTATTATTTCACCAGCTGCAAATATTAATCATATCTTCTCAAATTATTGGTCTGACAAGCTCTTAGTTGTCAAGTTGACTTTTACCTAAATCTAAACACCTAAAAATCAACAAGGGTCACACAGGACCAACCTCTCGTGTAAGAGCAGCAAAATAATTTATTTGCAAAAGGAAAAAGAGGCGGTGATGCATTTTTGGACAGAATTATTACAACTGATGAATGGCTGCAACTACTTCGCTGTAAATTCAATTACTGGGGTTTGAGTCTCTGCTGCATGCATCATACAGTCTGGACTTTGCACCGATGGATTACATCTCTTTAAATAAACCCGTGCTGTTTCATTGTTTAAGAATGGAAAGTTTTGAAATTTTGTAGCATTGATCACAGAACATTGGTGAATGATTAGAGAAAGTTTCATTTAATTCTTATGTGAAATACTCATATTAAAACAAGGAAAACCTATGAACCCCTGGGCTGGGCCAATTTTAATACTACGGACCAAATCTTAACTACTTTGGTAGAGGACCTAATGATGATATCATATACAAAATATCAAAGCTCTGGGCCTATTACTTTCAGACAAGAATGTTTTTTTTTCAATTTTGCATTTTTGAAACTTCTTTTCTGGCCCCATGACCTACTAATGCAACAGACCAGAACCATTTGAACAACTGTGGCAGGGGACTGACCAAGGATCATTCTGTAAAGTTTGGATATTGTGCAGACATTGGTTTCAGAGGAGATGTTGTTTAAAACTAGAAATGTGATGTCACGCAATGGCTGCCCCCGCATGCACCCAAAATTTCAGATGTTATAATAGTTAGTTCCAAATTTGTTTGCACAAACTATTTTTTCATTTTAAATTAAAAGCCCTTAAAACTTTTCAATGTAAAAACAAACCATTTTTATACAAAGTTCAAGGCATTGAAACAATTCAATGTTAACCTTTTGTCAATTTCATATTGCATATTTGTAGCCAAAATAATGAATACATACATTTCCACAAAAGTATGAGAGCTGAAACTGAAAATTCAAAATTTTTCCAACATTTTCAAGAGAGATAACTTTGTCCTTAATCATTGAACCACAACCAAATTCAAACTTGAAGTGCTTATTCCTAAGATGTAACTATATGTCAAATTGATTGGGGAGATAATGAACGGAAACTAAATCTTTTTATTTTTTTCGAAGTTCAAGAGGGATAACTCTATCAGCTATCACCAAACCATAACCAAATTCGAAATTGACCACTGTATTCTTATAACATATCCATAATTATGTTAAATTTGAGTTGAATTATAAATAATGTACAACTGTTTGTCACAATAGGGACTACGATGGGATACCAGGCCGACCACAATTGCTATCTAAAACAACCAACAACTCAGAACAGAAAAATATATACAAATTTATTTACAGAAATGAATATTTATAAATGAAAAAAAGATTATATATGAAAAGTCACTGCGCAAACAAACACTATCAACGTATCTCAGTCTATTTCTCCCGTAAAGTTTCTGTCATGATGTTTCAATAAAGTGGTGGCGTTGTTGAACAAAATTCGTCACAATGGCGGGCATCTTGTATAAAATCTTATCAAGCGTAACTGTACTTCCTACAGTGTTGGCACAGTTGATAGGATCCTGAACAAGGGCATGCGTCACCCTTTAGCCATGGACATATGTGTGGAGGGCCCGTGTCATCTTCGGGGTGTCCTCAAATAAGAAGCTACAAAGTATAAAACATGATAAGTTCCATGATAATCAAACATAAGGGTATAATAAAGTCCCTTGGAAAAGACTCGACCTTTGTCGGTTTCCAATAAAATAACGTGCTTCTTTGAATAAACAAAATGTCCACTATAGTACACCATACATTCCGTGGAACAAAAATTCAATCACATCCGCATAATACTGCGTTGCAAATATATTCAAATATACGCCACATAATAACCACCAATAAATAAACGTCTTCCAAAATCATGCCACTGAAGATCCTTCTCTAGAGATACGTTGTATTTACTTATAACAAAAACTGATGATAAATGAAATGAAGTAAGATGATAACGTAAATTAAATTGATTGAAACAAATAAGATGATAACGAAAATTAAATTGATTGAAACAAATCATTACGATACTGCAGCATTTTACATAAAGTTACACAAATACGGTAGAACCATAATAAATTATTTATGAATAGATATATATATATATCTATAAAATATTCATGGCTCCTATACAATTACAATATAATTAAAACTTCAATTAACATACATCAATTAACATGTCTCGGTATAAATTTGCAATAGCGAAACACTAGAATAGAAAGAGCTTTTAAAATTTAATCTGCAAAAATTTAGAAAATTTAGAAAACAATAAATTACTGCCAAACAACTAAACCTGAATCAAATAAACTATAATTCTAAATAGAAAATAGAATTTTACGAAATAGCAAAAATTTATGAAACAAAATCACTAGAAAAATAAATTTACCTTGTACAAGCTGTAATTTTATGACAAATATAATTTGTCTGTCACCGTCATAGTGACCTGTATAACGTCCAGTGCATTGCAATATATCACTTAAAATTTAGTCATTATATAGCAAACTACTGAGTACTGAGCGGGAAAACGGATCGTGCAAAACATGAAAAATCGATTTGCACGAAATAAAGCTGGGACGGCGGGAAAAATAGTTATGTAAAATAAAGGCCCGTCCTTCAAATACAGACATAATACATATATCTGGTTCATAAAACAAAAATGTAACTTTCTTATTACTGAAAGGATTTTTGTGAAATAAACGGCAAGATGTTTAAATTGAGACATGGAAATTTATGCAAACCATAAAAATACTCTAAATAATAATTTCACCCGAAAACTCTAAATTGAACAAAAGATGATGCAATCTCACATCAATGAATATAGAGTAAAAATGAGGTTCGGCGTGAAAATATAATGCAAGATTTTACAAACGTACTTTCACTTTGTGACACTGTTGGGTAGATAAAGAACGGAAACTGAAAATTTCCTTTTTTCAAAGTTAAAGGGGCATAACTCTGCAAAAAATCATCGAACAATGACTAAATTCGAACTTGACCTGCACATTTTTTTGATGTATCCATAATATTCAATTGACGTATCAATATGTCATATTTGAGTTTAAAGTGTAATACTATTGGGGAGATAATGATTGGAAACTGAAAATTCCATATTATTTTCAAAGTGAAAGGGGCATAACTCTGCCAAAAATAATCAAACCATGACCAAATTTGAACATGACCTGCACATTTTTTTATGTATCCATAATTGGCGTCCGTGCCGAAGCGCGGCGCCTTTTATGGAATGAAATCAGATTTTGTGAAAGGGCGACAGCAACTTCTCGAGCCTTTTATAGTTGTTCATAATAAAAGCCGATCATTCCGATCGGTATGAGGGTGCTTGAATATTAATTAGTTGCGATATGTACAATGAATAGCGAACTGGAGAATTTCGCAATGCAAACATTTTCAAATTAATTAACCTTTTCCGTCAATAAATCGCGCTCTTCAGGGTATTTTTATTTATCATTTTGTAGTACACAGTGGGTTATTATGGTATGTTATTCCGAAAGCTGTAAATAGAATGTTGAGTTGATGACCTAAATATTCCGAAAATCTATTTATAGAGGGATGTACTCCTGTCGATAATTCCCGGTCTCTCCTGGTCTATTTTGACGACCGGCGAATAGTACCACATGTTTATTGTCCGGTCTCTTCCTGTTTTGGAGTAGATGTTTGATATCGGTACAGAACAGAACAAATATTTTACAGATAAATAAGCTTTTTTTCAAAATGAATGTTTGTCACTTAGTTTGGTTACAATAATTAATAAAAATAGATCAACTCTCAAATTTATTGATTATTATTATACATAAACATACAATTCGAAAAAAAAACAACAACACAAATCGCATGTTTTATTTTATCTATATGAGATAAAAACAATAAATATGTACAATAATTGAGAAAAAATGTACATTTTTATGGCATTAATATGACATTTCTTGCTTGGACGCCCTTTGATGCTTTGCATCAATGCTTTTCTTGTATGTCAAATTGAAACTGAAAATTTCATCAAGGGACATAACTCTGTTAAAAATTATCGGACCATGAAAATTAACTGAAAATTTCATCAAGGGCATTATAATTTAACTCTGTCAAAAATCATCGGACCATGACCAAATTCAAATTTGACCTGTATTTTCTCATGATATATCCATATGTCAAATTTGAGTAGAATGTGTGAAACCGTTACTAAGATGATGAACGGAAACTGATAATGGCAGAATGACGGAACAGGGTAACACTATATGCCACAGCCATTTTATGGCTTGGGGACGACTAAGGCCTGAACGGTTACATGTTTAAACGCATTCGTTTCGATTTTTATTTGTAAACATTTGCTATATTTTTTACTGTTTAATCAATACGACCATATTGTCTTACAAAATATCTTAATCATTGCCTGTAATCATTGATTTTATCAATTCTAATTAGTTTATACCAAAGTAAAACAAGAGCCACGCCGGGCGGGGGCAACGGTTGACTTTTTATTTTTTCTAAAAGCAAAACAAAGAAATGTTTGAACAAATCTTAATATGTTTCCTTTCTATAAATGAATTTAATAGGTATGTCTTGAAGATATATATATAAGCATTTATATATATATACTATATATAAGCATTTATATATATACTATATATATATAATTATACTCAACAAAAATAGAAACCTGACACTTTATTTCTTTTAAATATTTTCTAATTTGTGATTTAAATTAAAACATGTGTAGTAAGTATTTATGCACTACG